ATCAGCTGTTGGAGTGGAACCCTGTACAGGTAGGCTCTACTTTTCAGGGGGGGGTCTGTATTGAAAAATCAATTCGAGGGGGGGGGGTGGGGGGGGGTCTGAATTGAGCGATCAATTATTAGACCCGGACGTCCCAACACTTGCTTCGCAAGACAAACTCAAGGTATCCCCTAAAGGGCTACCTTTCGTGACTAGTAAGGCACTTGTTACTACTAGCGAGGCACTTGTTCCTAGTAGCTTGGTGGAAGAAAAAGCAGGGACCTCCGTTCTTTGAGTGTTTCTGTGAACAGTTGGACATCATGAGGTGGCTGGGCAGCTAATCTCTGTCTTCCAAGCTGTCTCCGGTTTCTGTGAGCTCAAATGCCCTGTTTGACTTGATGTCTGTGCCAACACTCCACTCCTCAAATCCGTGTCTGATGAGAATGATGGTTTTTTCTTCTGGGTTCTTTACTATTCTTCACTTGTAATTGGGATGTACCACATATATATATATATGGAGGCGTTCAAATGTTGTTGACGTCTTTTGACTAGAACACTCCCCAAGATTGGTTCATCTTGACCCAAATCCAGTCTCAGTTGCCGAACTATTTTTTGGGGGAAGCCCAGTATAGCTTCTTTTTACTACTAGTAAGGCACTTGTTACTAGTAGCGTGGCACTTGTTTCAAATAGCTTCTTGTTACTACTAGTAAGGCACCTGTTACTATTAGCGTGGCACTTGTTACTAGTAGCTTAATTCTACCAAGCATCTGGCTGGTGAGATCCACAATCCTCTGCATCACCGCCAAGCAAGCTCCCGTGATCCACTTCACCACTGCCCTGGGCCGGTGCTTCACGGCTCGACAAGCTGGTCACTCCCTGAAACGGAAGTGGATGGCATGGCCCCTGGAAATCCAAGTTCCTTTAGAAACAGGGGCGTTGTCCACTTCCATCATGTTTGTTGGAGGGAGGGTATATGACAAGAAAATCCGAGTATGGCAGTCGAAAGTCTTATTATCGGTCTCGCACTGACTTTTGTGTGGAACTCCTTGAGCCGTGGCTCGTCCACAGTGCCCCAAAACCAGAAACTCCGAGGGTGCTCTCAATTTTAGAGGGGGTTTTCCAGTCTTCACCACCTGCCTAGGCACATGCAGCAGGAACACATGGGATTGTCTGCAGTCTCCTCCGCGGTCAAGATCGCTTGCACAATCCAGCGCACGAACCGCAAAAGGGTCATCCTGAGAGACACGTCTCACTCGACCATCTGAGATCTTCGACCATCCGGCTGCACACATCGGTCTCTCTGCAACACGTGGTTCTGTCAGGCTGGAGGTGTTTTGTCCTGAAACAATATCAACTGAGGATGTCTGAGGTGAATCAATGGGCTCACTACCTCCATGGTGAATTTTGGGTTGGAACCACCATCAGGCTTTCAAGGTCCCCATCAAGACATATTGTGGCTGGAGAAGTTGGATTTGTTTTTGGTGCAAAGATTGTCATGACTGGTTGACATTAATCCAAATCACCCATTGTCGGAGTAGGCACCAAGAATGCCTTCATTATGATTTCGGCTCAATGTATATAACTTCCTTGTTGGTTTGGATGTTCCTTGTGAACAAATATCTTGACTCACCTGACTCTGAACAAAAATATGTCCACCGCCCACCTGCCCCCCAGTGGAGCCCAACGGTCACCTTAAGATGTTCCTCCTGCGAACGGACCAAATGTTCCAAAAGCACGTGTGAAAACGGACCAAACCTCCAGCCGAGTGAGTTCCTTGGTCTTTTCTTGCAACTTCACAAATCATTGCTTCCAGGAAAAGAAGTCTACTAGCTTTAACCTGGGTGTGTGTGCCAGCCCCAGCAAAAAGTGGCCAGTGGATCTCTGGGATGCATTGGATATCCATTGAGAGTTCTGTAGGCGATTTTTCATTGAACAAACGTCCATTTTGGTGCATTGCTTTGACCCAAATCAGTCACTGACTGCCTCCGGGGCTCAAAAGGGCGGCGTAGACCAGGGACCCCAAATGCTTAGTCACTGCCACACACCACGCCTGGCTTGTGACATGAGTCTATGTGGGATGGTCAAGACTTGTAACAATGTTGATCCTCCAGAGAACATACTGATTGCCGAAAATAAACAAATCTTCTATATACAATACCCAGTACTCCATCAGTACCTGATGCTGCGCTATCTGCCACAAAAGTCCAAGGTTGATGGTGATGACGGTGGTGGGGTATCCAAACAACGGATCTGCTACACCCTAAGCTTGGAAAGACTTCATGAACTTGGGGTTTTGCACTGTGCGGTTCTGTGTGGTGTGTTGTGGTGTTGTCGAACAAGCGGCGAGTCACCATCCTTTCAAAAGGAATCTTTGTCGACGAGTGTTTTTGTTGTTGGGAACTGTTTGGGTTTCTAAACCTGCAGGGTCCAAACCACGACATTTATTGTTTTTCAACCAGAAGCCCGAGGGTCGGCCAAACTCTTCCGAGTTGAGACTTGGATGTATCAAGAAAAGAGAGCAGTGCTTTCCTTCCACCCAAAGCAATCCCATCAAAGGAGTGCACCAGCAAGACTGGTTGTGTAGGCCATTCATCATGTGGCTTCTTGAGGGAAAGTTGAACACTCTCACCTGAGATCCCCTGAACCTGAGTAGTTATGGTGAAGATGCATCGTACAGCAAAGCATCAAATGTCCTCAAACATGCTATATACATCTTTTATCATCTTTTCCTTTAAGGTCATGAAATGCTCCTCAACCTGATGTTTTCCCATCTCAAAACTGCTTGACATGCCCTGATCTACCCATTCCGCTTCATGCACGGATGCGCAAAGTTGTCGATGTGTGCCTTGAGGATCAAAGTAGGGCCACACATGGAGCACAACGAGGAGCGTGCTGTGCCCTTACCGTAGTGGTTGAAGTACCAAACTTCTGCCACCTAGGTCTGGCAATCGGTCTGGTGGTGTTAGCTTGACTCGACTAGGTCAGGGGATTCCCCGTGGGATGCAACGGGCAATTCTGCGTGTTGGGCGTGGAAGGGAAAACGTCACGAGAAGCACATGATTCCCAGGCCAGTCATCAGATTGAGTTCGTCATTTCAAAAGCTTATCCGACTTTGAAGGTGCAACCACCTGAGGAACCCGCAGTTGTCATTCTCATCTATTTCCTGGCAGGATCCTTCAAGAGATGCCTCTTCTGTCCAGGCGGCATAGATCACAACGAAGACCGAGATGTAGTGCAACAGCTCCAAAGTCCAAAGCATCACCTGCAGTTGAACTGGACCAGCGGAAGACACATCTACCTACTCCAAGACCAGCACCCATCGATGGAAGTGGGTGGAACAAGGAAATGCAACGGTGCTTCCAAAACACCATATATATGAATTAAGCATACAATTACTGTTGACTGTTGATTCATAAAACCTCCGCCCATATCATAGGAAGATGTAAAGCCATTACGTTAGTCTTGTTTCAATGAATCAACAGTACTACAGTGGCAAAACAAATTCCTTTGATGCATGTGGATTCCTTTGACCCAATAACCGCTTTGACCACCTCTCAACGCTCAGTACCTCAGGATCCGAGTTTCAATCCGAGATTTCTGCGGACTGCACAGAAGCCAGGCAGGAGGATCGCGGAAGAGACTTTGGCTGGGTTTCGTCACCCACTTTTTCGTTTTTTCCGAAGAATTTCAACGTCACGAGCCACGAGCCACGAGCCACGAGCCACGTCACCTTTTTTCCATTGGTCGTCGGACTTGAGAAGCTACGCCAACAGAGCCAAGAAATCTCTTGTGATCATTGTGATCCTGGTACACAGCATGTGTCCTTTAAAGGTGATGACACATGGTGACAGTATATAGATGGATGGGGACAGTTGTATGATGTTGAGAAAAAACATCCTATAATATATAATATAGATTGATGGATATTTTGGTCAACCCCCAACCATCTCCACCGCAGTCCCTTCTTTGCCGCGTTGCGAAGCCAAAGTAGATCGCACACAGCACAGAGAAGTTCTCAGCGGCAATGATGGCAAGGTGGAGGGGGGGGTTGGACGACTTGCTTCTTCTTATGAACTATGAACTGCTGCGTCCCCACGTCGTGTCACTAAACACGCGAGACTTTTCATCACACATTGCTAGTGACTTTTCTTCAGACTGCGAGATCCCTGGATCATTCTGGATCTATCAGTAACAAGAAGCTACTAGGGGCTCCTGGCCTTACTAGTAGTAACAAGAAGCTACTAGGAACAAGTGCCACGCTAGTAGTAACAGGTGCCTTACTAGTAGTAACAAGAAGCTACTAGGGGCTCCTGGCCTTACTACTAGGGGCAAGGACGCTACTAGGGGCTCCTGACTGTATGATTTCCCCTGCAGCAAGTCCATCGCCTCTCCGCCCATCTTCATCCAAGGCTCATCCGGGTGCAAGAGAGTATCGGGCTTCGTAAGGTCCACGTTTCTGGCCAACACGGCAGGAAAGCAGCTTTCAGATCCTTTCAGAAGATCTGTAGATGACTATAGATATGCTGGATGTGTTTTTGATGTTAATGTATGAATACTTAACGGCAACTCAATCTTTGTGTGAGCTGAAGGGAGATAGATACCCCCCCTCTCCAAACGTCTTGGGCCTTGGAAGAACCAAACCAGAATGCTCACACGATCGCCAAATCTTGCATGTTTCACCTAATTATAAGTACTTCCCATCTCAGAATGCCTTCAAGATGTATTGTCTTACAGTACCCATGAGGTCACTGCCATCGCCCCACTGTCGCGAGGTCGCTCAACACATCGCTCGTCTGGGGGCAGGTGCTTGTAGTCTCCAGAGGTCAGAAGGAGGAGCAGGCCGATGGCCGTCAAAATGAATAAGGGGATCTTCAGCAAGAAGGAGATCCTCGACCAATCTGACCATCTACACCGTCCGAAGGAATCCCGGATTAGAACTCTTAGCAAGCGAAGGAAACATGTTTCGATGATTTCACTGCCTGGAGATTCAATTTTGTGGAGATTCCTCGTGGACTTAGGAGTTTTCCTGGAAACCATGGTTTGATTGACAGGATGCGGAAGGGCCGCCTTGTATCGAATCCGAATCCGACCTGCTTCTGATTTCAAGGGAAGAAAGGGGACGCAAACCATTTTTGCCTGGTTTTTGCTGCACATCCGAGGTTCAGCGGCTCAAGCATCAACGAGGGCATGGTCATGAGGCAATCTGCAGCATCTTGAGCTGCAGCTGCCGCTGCCGTGCATTGCTTGCATTGGAAGCAGGCGCACAGGAGCACAATGCAGGAAATACCCACACCTCGAGGGTGCCAAAGGTCGTGAGTCTCAAGCTTTCAATCTTAGGTCCTAGGAGCCCTAGGTGCTTAGGTGCTTAGTGAATTCCCGAATTAGCTGGATGTTTGAATTGCAGTGATCCACAGTGCCACCGTTGAAGACAAACAGTCTGGCCACCGAAAGAACGTTCAGAATGGCCTTCGCATCTACTTCGTCATTTAAAACACGGAATATGTTGAGATCCCTCCCAAAAGGTTGAACCAACATGGTCTTCCCACTTGGTTTTCCCAAAAGGTTGAGTGTGAGATGACCCTAATTAGAGGGGTGATCAGGTGATTGCCCTGGTGGCCCCCACGCCAAGCAGTTCAAAAAAAAGCATAAAACAAATGTCTCTCAATCTGTCTGTCGGTCCATCTCTCTGTTGTTTGGGAAAATCCCGCCTATGACGCCGATGATCATATCGCCTTGAGTCCCGGTGAGTCCCAAGTCTGCGGCCGCCACCTGGCGGTCGAATGTGTTTGTCGGATATTTTCCGGGTTTGCACTCAAAACACCAAATCCTAGGAACACCATGGAGCACCTGGAAAAGGTCCATGAAGAATCTGTAAGAAAAGGTAAGCACCCTGCTCATTTCAAACCGCATGTATAAACCTCCAGCGACTCCAGCGTAGTGGTAGGTCCACCTGCGACCCAAAGGCTGTGCAAAGGTCGGAAGAGCCTGATATACCCTTCAAACGTGTCCGTCAGATTGGCGGAACAAACAAAAGCATATGATGCGTCGCTTCGATTCTACTGCTCAACAGTATTACTGGACCAGGTGAAAGCAAACGCCGTTGCAACCTCAACCCTCGAGGATCATTGAAGGTTACTCTATCGCTTCACACCGCAAACAGGGCTATGGGCTAATACTGAAAGGACTCCGTGGAAATGTGCTGGGATCTCCCCGTCCTTGGTTGGTTCAGGGAGGAAACCTGGACTTGCCAACTGCAGTTGCCGAGAATACGGCCTCAGCCATTGCCAGTAGCCAGCATGAAACAAGGCCGATACCATAGGTACTAGGTTTGCCAGGTTGCTAGTTTTCCTAGCTTCCCAGATTCCCAGTCCCAGCAGTTAATCTGATATCATATGTGGCCGCCGGGCAGGGCCCTTGAAGCCAGGGCATGAAAGTGCATATAACGGGGACAACTCTGAGGCGATGTTAATTAGAGCTTCGGCTTTCTCCTGTGCCTTCTTCCCGTACTCTGATTCCTCTCCTGCAAGCCCATGTGTGTCACTGGCAGGCTGACCCAAGCAATCCTTCTTTCTTTTGGCAAAGCAACAACATAGACAAATAACATATACTTAAGCAATGTTAAGCACGTAAACGTATGGATGTTACGCACTTGCGATATGTAGGAGCAAATACATGGATCAACCGGTCATTGTCTGTCAATCTAGTCCAAACCTTCTCTGCTCGTTTTGCCGCATGCGATTGCGGCATGCGATGCCATGCGATCCCTGTGAGGTCGGTCGCCGGCCTTGTGCTGCAGCGTACAATGACAAGCTCCCAAAGATGGCAGGGACAACCGCAAGCACCACGATGGACAAATAGACCAAAATTTTACCTGTCAAAGGACTTGTTCAGACGTGTTCAGACGTCACATTCTGCAACGACTCTTCTCATGGGGAGTGCCCACTTTGGGTAGGTCCTGGTGGACATAAGGTGAATGGGGGGTTTGGAGAAAGAGGCCTGGCATGTGTTTGTCGGGCACCCTTTCATGAAGAAGTATGATGAACACGTTATACAATGTTATAATATGTTATAATGTCATATATTGATAATATATCTATTATAGTTGTGACGTGTTATGATCAGTCAATCATCCTTCCTTCGCCCGAACAAAGCGAGAACTGCAGACCAGCAAAACCAAAGGCGCACATTTACTTGCGATAAAACACATGCACCGTCTGCCATCGCTACTAGGTTGGAGGCCGTCGCTACTAAGGTCGCTATTAGGTTGGAGGCCATCGCTATGAGGTTGAAGGCCATCACTACGAGGTTGGAGGCCATCGCTATTGGGTTGGAGGCCATCGCTATTGGGTTGGAGGCCATGCTATTAGGTTGGAGGCCGTCGATACTAGGTTGGAGGCCTTTGCTATTAGGTTGGAGGCCATCGCTACGAGGTTGGAGGCCATCGCTATTAGGTTTGAGCCCATCGCAGTCAGGTTGGAGGCCATCGCAGTCAGGTTGGAGGTCATTCATTTTGCTACTAGGTTGGAGGCCTTTGCTATTAGGTTGGAGGCCATCGCTACTAGATTGGAGGCCATCAGTACTAGGTTGGAGGCCATCGCTATTAGGTTGGAGGCCATCGCTACTAGGTTGGAGGCCATCGCTACTAGGTTGG